ATTTATCTATTTTTATAGGTTGTCCAATTTTTTTGGTGTATAATTGTTTACAGTAGTGTCTTATGGTCCTTTGTATTTCTTAGTATCTGTTGCAATGTCTCCTCTTTTATTTCTGATTTTATTTATTTGAGTTTTCTCTATTTTTTTCTTAGTGTAGATAAAGTTTGTCAATTTTGTTTATCTTTTCAAAAAAACAACTCTAGTTTTATTGATCTTTTCAATTGTTTTTCTAGTCTCTATATCATATATTTCTGCTCTGACTTTTGTTAGCTACTTCCTTCTGCTTACTTTTGGCTTATTGTGTTCTTCTTTTTCTAGCTCCTTGAGGTGTATAGTCAGGTTATTTATTTAAGATCTTTCTTTTTACAAAGTGGAGGTATTTATCACTTTAACTTCCCTCTTAGAACTGCTTTTGCTGCTTCCCATAAGTTTGGGTGTGTTGTGTTTCCAATTTCATTTGTTATAAAGATATGTTTTGATTTTCCTTTTGATTTTATCTTTGCTTCATTGGTTGTTTAAGAGTGATTGTTTAATTTCCACACATTTGAGAATTTTTCAATTTTCCTGTTGTTACTGATTTCCAGTTTCATTACACTGTAGTTGGCCTATCATACACTCTATCCTGGAGAATGTGCTATGTGCACTTGAGAATCATGTGTATTCTGCTGCCCTTAGATGGAGTGGCAGCAGAATACACATGATATATTAGGTCCATTTGGTCAAAAGTGTGGTTCAAGTCCAGTGTTTTCTTACTGATTTTCTGTCTGAATGATCTATTCATTGTTGAAAGTGTGGTATTGAAGCCCTCTACTATTATTGTATTGTTGTCTACTTCTCCCTTCAGATCTGCTAGTATTTTCTTAATATATTTAGGTGCTCCAATATTGGGTGTGTATATATTTACAATTGTTATATCCTCTTGATGAATTGACCTGTTTGTCATAATATGATGATCTTTGTTACTTATTATAGTTTAAAGTCTATTTTACCTAATATAAGTGTAGCTATCCCTGGTGTCTTTTGGTTTGCATTTGCATGGACATTGCATGTCTTTTGCATGTCTTTTTCCACCCCTTCACTTTGAGTTACGTGTGTGATTAAACCTGAAGTGAGTCTGTTACAGTCAGCATATAGTTGGATCATTTTTTAAAATTTATTCAACCACTCTGTACTTTTTGATTGGAGAATTTAATCCATGTACATTTAAGGTAATTATTGATAAGTAAGAACTTACTGATGCCATCTTATTAACTATTTTGGCTCTTTTGTTGTTTCCTTCTTTCTGCTTCCTCTCTTGCTGTCTTACTTTGTGAATTGATGATTCTACATAGTGCTATGTGTTGATTCCCTTCTCTTTACTCTTTGGATATGTACAGTAGGTTTTTGCTTTGTGGTTACCATGAGGCTTACATAAAACATCTTTTAGTTAGAACGGTGTATTTTAAGCTGATAACAATTAAATTTTAATCACATACAAAAACTCTACCCTTTTACTCCCCCTGTCACATTTTATGTTTTTGATGTCACAGTGTATATCCATTTTTATTGTGTATCCATTAACAAATTATTGTAGCTATCATTAGTTTTAATGCTTTTTTTCACCTTTATACTCAAGTTAAGTGATTAACACCATGTTTTAGTATTAAAATGTTCTGAATTTGACTATATTCTTAACTTTACTAGTATATGTTCTACTTTCATATGTTTTCATGTTACTAATTAGCATCCTTTCATTTCAGCTTGAAGAGCTCCTTTCAATACTTCTTCATATAGTGTTGAGAACTCCCTTAGCTTTGTTTGTCTTGGAAAGTCTTTGTGTCTCCTTCATTTCTGAAGGACAGCATTGCTGGTTAAAGTAACCTTGGTTGGCAGTTTTTTTCTTTTAGTACTTTGACTCTATCATCCCTCTCTCTACCGGCCTGCAAGGTTTCTGCTTAGAAACCTGCTGGTAATTCTATCATGTCCCTTAGATGGGGGAAATTTTTTTCTTGCTGCTTTTAAAATTCTCTCTTTGTCTTTGATTTTACACAGTTTTATTATAATGTGTTTTAGAGAAAATATTTTTGCCTTGAATCTTTTTGGAGAACTATGAGCTTCATGAATTTGGATGTCCAAATCTCTCCTCTAATTTGGGGAGTTCTCAGCCATATTTCTTGAAATAAACTCTCTGTACCTTTCTCCCACTATTCTCCTCTGGGACTACAATAATGTGTAGATTATTTCTTTTAATGGTACCCCATAATTCACATAGGCTTTCTTCTCTCTTTTTCCTTGTTTTTTCTTTGTTCTCTTCTGACTGGATAATTTCAAATGACTTGTCTTTGACTTCACAGATTCTTTCTTCTGCTTGATGAATCTGCTGTTGATGCTCTCCATTGCATTCTTCATTTTATGCATTGTGTTCTTCAGCTCCAGAATTTCTGTTTAGTTCTTTTTAAATAATTTCTATTTCTCTGTTAAAGTTCTCATTTTGTGTTGTTTTCCTGATTTCTTTGAATTGTCTTTTTGTGTTTGCTTGTAGCTAACTGAGCTTCCTTAAAATGACTATTTTGAATTCTTTACCTGGCAAATCACAGATCTCCCTTTCTTTGGGGACAGTTACTAGAAAATTATTGTGTTAGTTTGGTGGAGTTGTGTTTTCCTATTTTTCAAGTTTCTTGAAGTCTTGCACTGCTGTTTTAGTATTTGAGGAAGCAATCGTCTTCTCCTCTCTGTACTTACTGACTTCAGGAGAGAAATACCAACTGTTAGCTCTGCTAAGGATTCTGAGGCTTTATCAGACCATTTCTATGGATATTCCTGCTCCATACTTCTTGTTCCCTTCTTAAGACTGTATTCCTTTTTTCAATCCTATAAAGTTGGGCTGGGTGCCGGTAGTCTTCTGTTTGCTTTCCCTAAGGAGGTGCTGAATGCTCAAGTTTGTGTGGTTTCTCCATGACTGCAGAGTTGGGGTGGCTTTCTGTGTATGCTTACAAGCTATTTACAAAGGCTCACACTCACTACCTTTGGGGTGCACACAGGTAGCTAGCCACAGGGTGTGGGGGTATATGGATGAGTCACCCAAAACAATAGAGGTGCCCATGGGTCTGTTGGAGAGATCCACAAGAGAGTCATTCCCAGCACTCAATGATCAGGATTCCTGACGGAGTCCACAAGTCAGTTAGTACGATCCACGTCCCTTTGATGCCCTCCAAGAGCCCTGGCTGCTGTTCTCCCATCCCCTCCTTGCTCCTATCCTGCAGCACACCTCGGTATTCTGGATGGAGGAAGAAAGAAGTAGGCACCTTTGGCAGTGGCCTGCACAGCTGGGGAAGAGTTCACTCATATGCTCAGTTTCTTTTTTTTTTTTTTTTGTGAGGAAGATCAGCCCTGAGCTAACATCCATGCCAATCCTCCTTTTTTTGCTGAGGAAGACTGGCTCTGAACTAACATCTATTGCCAATCCTCCTCCTTTTTTTTTTCCCCAAAGCCCCAGTAGATAGTTGTATGTCATAGATACACATTCCTCTAGTTGCTGTATGTGGGACACGGCCCCAGCATGGCCAGAGAAGTGGTGCGCACTTGCGCGCCCGGGATCCGAACCCGGGCCGTCAGTAGTGGAACACACGCACTTAACTGCTAAGCCACGGGGCCAGCCTGCTCAGTTTCTTCCGTAGGAGAAATTGCCAACCAAGAGAGTCCTTCATGACACTGAACTGTGCTGCCTTAGGGGAGGGGTTATGGAGGTAATATGAAACTGTTTCTCTTATCCTCTTCAATGCATTCAACCTTGGATGTTTTTCTCCAACACTGTGCTAGAACTTCTCTGCTGGACTCCCAGACTTCTAAAAAGGCACTCTCATCCATGGGTCATACTAAAATTGGTGTTCTTTGGGGGAATATGGTAGAAAACTCCTATTATCCTATTTTTTTGACATATTACCTGGAATCATATAATTTTGTTTTTATTTTGTATTTCTGTAATGATTAATGGTGTTTGGAATCTTTTTATGTATTTATTTTCTGTTTGTATATCATCTTTTTTAAGTGTCTGTTCAAATCTTTTGGCCAATTAAAAAAATCATATTGTTTGTGTTCCTATTAAGGTGTAAAAGTTTAAAAATATGTTTCAGATACAGGTCATTTATCAGATATGTATTTTGCAAATATTTTCTCCCAATATGTGGCTTGTCTTTCATTTTCTGACTTTCTTTTATATGATTCAATTGAAAGTGTTATTATTCCATTATTTTGATAATATAGTGTAGATATCTCAATCTGAAGATTAAGCAAAATCAGAATTACAAATGCTTGTCAACTATATAATTAAGATGTGGCTGATTGACATGACTGAAGTACAGAGCCTAGCAAAAATAGTAAAAGTCTTCAGAATTGCCTGGGCTGGAGCTATTAGAGATATTCTTCAAAAAACTATTAAACAAGTAATTGTTTCTGCTAGCTCCAAAATCAAAACAAGAGACAAAAAGATTTATGGGTTGCTTGGTTTCTGGAGAAATTGTATTACATCCGAGAATTATTTTAGTTTCTATTAACAAAGCTAGCAGGAAAAAAGCTGAATTTAAATGGGGCTGTAAATAACAACAGGTTGTCCTGTAACTTAAAAGAGCCATTTGATTCCTTTGGCACTATACAACTCCAGTGATTTGGAGCTATTCACTGCTTTACTAATGAGAAAACTAAGGTTCAGATAAGCTAAGAGTAACCTAATAAAAAAGTAATAGAGCCAGGCTTAAAATTCAGGTTTTGTGACTTTAGTTCAGTATTTCTCATTAATCCATGATATTCTGTGTGTGAGACAGTCAAATGATAGTGTTCAGAACATGTTATTTTCTCTATGACTGAATTGCCTCCTCTGGACCTAGACTACAACACTTCTCATCTGATGTGGCGTGAAGCTTTTTCATATCTTTGCAAGTATCTTTGATTTTTGGTCTTCAAGCATGACTTTCTTCACATTGAGTCCAAATTTTTGAAAATAGCCATTGTTAGCAAACAAACTTTCAAGTTCTCCTGTGCAATAAGGACATAATTTTATTGACTGCTTCTCTTAAAACTTTCTTTACCTGTTCATTCCTTAGACTATAAATAAAGGGGTTAAGAAGGGGGGTCACCATTGTGGTGAGGACAGCTGTCACTTTGTCAAAATCTAGGGAATGACTCTGACTGGGCCTCACATACATGAAGATATTACTCCCATAGGCAATGGAGACAACAGTGATGTGAGAAGCACAGGTGGAAAAGGTCTTCTGACGTCCTTGGGCTGAGGGGATGCTCAAAATGGTAGAAACGATGTAGGTATAGGACACGGTGGTGAGCACCAGTGAGGTCAGGAGGATAAAGGAAGATAAGAGGAAGTTTATCATCTCAATGAAATGAGTGTCTATGCAGGCTACCTGTAGCAGAGGAGCGATGTCACAGAAGAAGTGACTAATTTCCTTATAACAGAAAGGCAATCTAGATACTACAATACTTGGGCAGAGCACTGACAGGAAGGCCCCCACCCAGCAGCCCAGAACCAGCAGGAGACAGACCCTGCTGTTCATGACTATGGTGTAGCGCAGGGGGTTACAGATGGCCACGTAGCGGTCAAAGGACATCACTGCCAAGAGGATAAACTCTACTGTCCCCAGGAAAAAAAAGAAGTATGTTTGAGCGATGCAGCCAGCCAAAGATATGGTCTTCTTCTCTAGGAGACAGGCTAACAGCTTTGGGGTAACTGACGTAGTGTATAAAATGTCCAAAAATGACAAATTACTGAGGAAGAAGTACATTGGGGTTT